GACAAAGCTTGAGGAACCCCAGTAAAACAAGTCTACTTTTATCTAATGATTTTTAAAAGTATTTTACAGGGTCATATCATTTAAGAAAGATTTTATTTTTTTCTAAGATATGTTTGTGTCCAGCTTGGTAAGCTAAAATGCCAGTGCTAAATTCAAGCCTCTCAGCAAGCCAAGCTTCACAGACCGGAGGTCGCCGTCTCAGAAGGTCAGAACACGTTGAATCAAAGCAAATCTATGACACCTGACTGAGGGCCCTAATGAAACTAGGAAACCAAACCTTTACTGAGCAGGGTTTTTTATTTATTTATTTTTATCAGACTGAGCATGCAGATTGATAAGGTTATGAAATATAGTTCTGTATTGAAAAACTATAAATGCATGCAATTTATCATAGTTCTTTAAAATTTTTATGGAAAGCTCTATTCCTGCAACAGGGGTTCTATGACATCCCCAGCTTCCCTCACTATCTTGTGCAGGGCCTCCCTTATTGGAAATATTGCAGCCCATGAGGGTCATTGCATCACCACACTCTAAACTACAGTTCTAATGAGTTTTGTAAGGGTAGGAAAGCAATAAGCGTCTCTGCATGGTCTCCAAGTGCATGCATGGGTTCTCACCTGGTACTCTGGGTTCCTGCAACAGTATAAAACAATGACTGTTAGCTACAGGACTATTTTGGTAAACTAAAAGTGTTCGTAGTGAGCATTACTTGTTTCCTTGCAGCAAATGTTTGATTTCTGTTGCAAAAACGTTTAACAAATCACATGCAGGAGGGGAATATCCCATCTATGCCTGCATCTGCAAACTCTCAAATGTGCAAACGAAGCAAATGCAAGATGCAGAAAATCCAGAGATAATATCTTTTGCCTATACAGGTCAGGTCTGTCCATGTGCTTTTTTTTAATGGAGTCATCTCATAGTGCCTGTGTTTTCTTGGTAGCCTACCCCACAGCAGCCGTGTGGAGTGCTTCCAGTTTCATTGCAACTAATTAATAATTTGTCTTGTTGGAAAGCTGCTGGTCGCTGAGAGCAGGTCTGGCAGTCATCTGTCATTTGCTCTTCCTGTGTGCCCCTTCAGTCTGTCTGACATCTCTGAGCAAACGCGGCCCAATACACAACCAGAAGCCCAGGGCCCTTGTGAGCAGCCAGCGAGAGCACACCGCTTCTAATGTTTGTGTGACAAAAAAGGCAAGGCAAATCCTCGCAATGGAATCAGATAATCACCCGCCTGTGAAGAGCCTGCCCCAATCCACATCCACCCAAAGTTGGAGAGCGAGAGGGAGGGGGGTGCTGGATTAACTGTCTGTTTGGCTAATAATTTTAATCTGCTGGACTGCTTCAGGAACTGGCCATCAGAGAATGGAATAAACATCCAATTCTTCGCACTGTTTCCATTAAAGCAGCTTTCTCCATACAGAGAACCCATCCCACCCAGCTCCTCTGTTACGCACTCATCATACGCAGGATTCTCAGCTGGACAAGACAGAAGCAAGAGCCAGCTGCGGGCGGCAAACTCTTGCCAGACTGTCCCAGCCTGACCTCGTGCGGTGGAATGTACACGTGGAGAGTGTGGGCTGTGTGTAGACAAGGAGGAGAGGGCGCTTCAGGTTCACAGGGTCAAGAGATATCTGTCTGGGGCACATGTGGAGCAGGAAGGAACACACAACTTGAAGGAGAGTGGGCTAATTCTGGAGAAATTCAAGTTGCAACAAAAAAAAAAGGACCTTTTAGATTATTTATTTCTCATAAAACTTGCATATATAGCCAAATGCATATGTATACTAAACAGCTGCTTTGGCTTCCAACAAAATATTGTATTATATGGTTAATAATTATGAAATGCACCCCATCCACAACTAACACTGAACCAAAAAAGAACATTTCATCCAAATGCTGAAAAATGATCATCTAAAAATGATCATCTAGGTAATAATTAGCATTTGTATTCACCTTTAAACTGATACCCCCAAATAAAAGCTGGAGTAACAACTTGCCTTGAGAAGATTAGTAAATTAGGCTGATGATTATATGTCTAGTCAGAGTGTAAAGGCCTTTTATGAGGAGAATATGTTTCCTATTAGCTGCAGGATCTGTGCTGATTGAATTCAGCTCCATTGGTCTTAATTGAATATCTGTCCAGGGGCCACATTCTGCCACGAAAAGCTTTTGTTTATTTAAAATTGTCATCCAAATTGTGTGTTTTTGCATTCAAGGGCTAACTAAAAAGACTATACCTCGATCCCAGGAGGTCTTCATCTTCTGCAATCCAATAAAATGCATTAAAGTCAAAGTTTGGTTTCCAGAAATCTGTCAAATTTTGGCCAAATGGAGATAAAACTGCAGATCAAACATGTTCTACTGTAGTTCTGGCGAATACACGCCTCTAGATGACATTGGAGTCTAATGGTGGCTGTTTGAAGTATGGCCACTTAGATATCCTGTTTAGGATGGGGCTGTATTGCCGCACCTTTGTTCTGATAAGAGGTCCCAGCCCCCAATGACAAAGTGCGAACGATGGGGAGGGCCGCGGCGATATAAGGGGCCGGTGAAGTGTCACGGACCTTCAGAGCTTCTCTTAATGATTTGAGCTTCTGTCCTGCTATCTTCAATCTGATTTTTTTTTCCCTCATGGATTTCCTCCGCGCTTATTTCGTCCTGTGCGCCGCTTTCCTTGCTCTCATCGAGGCTTTTACGCATGAGGATATGAAGGACGCGCTGCTGCAAAAACTCGGTTTGGATGAAGTTCCTAGAATCCAAAAGAGGGATCTGGAGAACCTGCTGGTTCCTGCGCACATTAAGAACAAATACCTGTCCATGCTGAAGATGCACCACAGCCGGAGGCGTAGATCTCTGCCCAGCCTGGCGGGGATCCTGAGGGGGATTCCTGGCAATGCAGGTAAACATAATGATAGAAAAATACTTTGAAACATCCTAAAATGCCACGCATCATCTGTGATTCCTGTGCGTAATGCGCGCAGACGCTCCTTTTTTACGCACCCAGCTGAAACTAAAACACCCGTTTATTTTGTTTGTTGCTTTAGATATTTCTGGAGAGTACGTCTACTCAGACACCACCCGGCACCGCATGGTGTTTGACATGGAGGCGCGGATCCCGGATAACAGCGAGGTGACCATGGCCGAGCTGAAGCTTTACCAGCGCGCATCGCACCACAAACGTTACACCGTGGAGAAAAAGAACCACCGACCCGTCAACAACGCCCGGGTCAGCATCTACTGGGTGGAGGTGCTGCCGGACGGCTCCAACAGGACCTCACTTGTGGATTCACGGTAAGAAAAAAACGCGCACCTTTGCCCCACGCTGCATTAAAGGGGAGTCATGCGTATGGTTGTAATTGATCGTCCTTATCGTGTTTTCACAGGTTGATCCCAATTCATGAGACCGGCTGGAAGAGCTTTGATGTCACTCAGGCGGTGCACTATTGGTCCAAGACGCAGCAGAAGACACCCATGCACCTGGAGGTGTGGATCGAGGGCGAGAGACCTGGCAGCTACGCGGCAGAGATGGCCAGGAGTGTGCGCTTTACCACCCAGGAGCAGACGGATAACACCTTGGGGAAGCCTGAGCTCATCCTTTACACACTCAACCTCGAGGAGTACGGGTGAGGATTAAAATTGATCTCACATTGGTGAAATTTATCTCTGCATTTAACCCATTGGGGGATATACTGCACTGCAGAAACTACATAGAAATAACTCAAAATGTCTTAAATGAAGCGTATTTACCTTTAATTTGAGTAGGTAAATAAGATAAATTGCCAAATGGAATCTTAAATAAGGCAATTAGATGATATACGCTTGAAATAAGACAATTAAAAAGTTTTTTTTTCTTATTTTAAATGTAAATTGTCTTGTTCTATTGGCAAAGTTTCTCACGTACCTCCTCAATTCAAGAAAAATGCACTTATTTTAAGAAAAAATGACTTATTTAGATTTTTTAGATCTGCATATCTGTGAGAATCAGACCACACTGCAACAAAAATTCAATCTCAATAAGAGATTTTTTTCTTAAAATAAGTGCATTTTTTTAATTGAGAAGGCAAGTAAGATTAACTAAAATACAATATAATTGTCTTATTTCAAGTTAATATTATCTAATTATCCTATTTTGGCAAATAATCTTATGTACCTCCTCAAATTAAGGGTAAATACACTTAATTTAAGGAGTTTTTACTTATTTCTGGATAGTTTTTTCAGTGCAGGCTTTCTTTTTATTTTCTTTAGAAAGTTCTGTTTGGAGACTAAATATAATCAGTATTGCAAGATTTATAAAAGCTTTATTAATTTTCTTTTTTTTTAGATTTAATTAAAAAATGTGAAATTAAAAAAATAACAGGGAAAAAGGGGGAAACTGTGATTAATAATTAAGCCCCCAACTTTAAAGAAAAAAATAGAATTTCTGTTGGAAGCAGAGGTGTAGCTAAAAAATGTAGGGCCCGGATTCTTTTGCAAACCCCCCCACATTTCATGCAGCATCAGTCAGCTAACCTTCCTCTCTGTTTCTCTTCCAGCTCTGCAGGCGACTGCGATGCAAACCAGAACAAAGACACCTGCTGCAGAGAGGAGTACTTCATCAACTTCCGCGCGCTCACCTGGACGCAGTACTGGATCATCGAGCCGGCCGGTTACCAGGCCTTCAGGTGCACCGGAAGCTGCAAGCAACCCAAACGCAACTACGGCTACGGAGAGCGGCGGTGCGTGGTGGCGGAGAGTTCCCCGCTGCCCATCATGTACCTGGTGAAAAAGGGGGACTACACTGAGATAGAGGTGGCTGAGTTCCCCAACATGATTGTGGAGCGATGCGGCTGCATGCTGGACAACGCCTCTGTGGTATGAAGGCCGTAGTCGTCCTGTTGGGAAATAATGCAGGGCGAATATAGTTCCTTTTGTTAGCTGTTGCCGTATTTAATGTTTTTTTTTTTTTTACCAACTCGTCAAGTACTTTTTATTTAAATGGACATTCAGAGGGAACAGTTCAGGCGGTACGATAAATTCAATCTCCCTCCACAAGCACTTTTAAAGATTTTGTAAATTTTAAGGTTGTTTCTTTTAAATATGAATTTGTATGAATTGTGTTAAATCTAGTGCAATCATTCAGATTCAGAGTGATTGTTTTAAAGAAAAAAAAGCTGTATATATAATATGAATGAGTTTATGTTTGTAAAATAAAATATTGGTTTCTCACTTTGCTCCTGGTGTCCCAGTTGGTCTCAATTCACATTCATGATTGGATTCGGATGCAGCTGCCTGCGTCTTTCACCTGCTGATTTGCACTTGCAGAAAGCAAATAACCGCCCTAATGATGCGGAGCGCTGGTACACAGTCTTGGCTTGTAATGCTTTGTTTGCAGAGGGAAGCAGACCCCAGCAGCGCATACAGTGAAACTGAAAGTCAATTTCCATGATGCTGGGCTCCTTATGCATGTTTCTTTCAGCTTAGACCGGGACAAACGTTGGTCATCACAGCCAATCCCTAATGTACAGTTTACTCTCAGAGTGGGGGGTCTTGTCATTCGCTAATCTGCTGCTGAGGAGGGTCAACATGGATAGACCCCCCCTGAAAGCGCAATGATCTCCTAACTCACTTTGTCAGTTTGGCTTCACACATTTAGAAACTGAGCGTCAGTTTTCCAGTCTTTCCAAAGATTAATAATCAGATTTTTGGTCTGGATTACAAACACATGAATGTAACAGATATATACATCTAATAAAAGATCTATATGCTGCAGCTCTGGTTGTCTGAAGGCTCTTATCCTACTCCAAGCTGCCAGATTTAACTCTTTCACAGCCTCTGGCAGGTTTGCTCTTTTCATTTTATATTCAACAAACTACATTTCAAATGCAATACATGATAAGCATCTAAAAATGATCATCTAGGTAGGGATTAGCATTTGCATTCAACTTTAATCTCATACATCTAAATAAAAGCCAGAGTAACCATTTGCCTGCAGAAGGTTAGTAAATAAGGCAGATGATTATATGTCTAGTCAGAGTGTAAAGACCTTTTATGTTTGCTATTAGCTGCAGGATCTGTGCTGATTGAATTCAGCTGCAAGGGTCTTAATTAAATATCTGTCCAGTGGCCACATTCTGCCACGAAAAGCTTTTGTTTATTTAAAATTTGACCCCCAATTGTGTGTTTTTGCTTCCAAGAGCTAACTAAAAAGGCTATACCTCGATCCCAGAAGGTCTTCATCTTCTGCAATCCAACAAAATGCATTTAAACATTTTTAAAGTCTGGTTTCCAGGAATCTGTCCGATTCTGGAGGTGGAGCTGCAGATCAAACATGCTTTACTGTAGCTCTGCTGAATACACGCCTCTAAATGACACTGGAGTCTAATGGTTTTCCAGTCCTTCCATAGATTAGTATGGATTATCGACACATGACTATAACAGATGTATATTCTTCTAATATTAGATCTATATGCTGTAGCTCTGGTTGTTTGAATGCTCTTTATCCTGTTGGAAGTTGAGCTTCAGCTCCAGATTTAACTCTTTCACACCTTCTAGCAGGTTTGCTTATTTGATTTCACATTTAATGAATTGCATTTGAAATGCAATACATGATACGGCCGCTGCTGTGTTTCGTTGTATGTTAGGTTTTCATTCACTGCATGCTCAATGTGTCCCCTCCACTGTTTGGAAGAAGCTTGAGACTTTTATGATATTGTTTCATAAAACTTACCCTGCTTTATACCTCACATCATTCCTCCTTAACTTTTCCATGTTTATTCATAGATGTTCTGGAACGAACCTGAGACCTTCATAGAAGACCTGGGTTTTTAATGATTTAATGACACACAGGAGATATTATTTGGTTTATTAGGGTATTTTTAAATAAGTTTGCTGCACAGATCTTTATGTTAAGATGTCAGTATGTTTATTCAGATGTTTTTTAGGGTCATTTAATCCATAATGAGCCATTATTAACGTGAGCATGATCCATTTATAGTTGATGACCTGCAGATCTTAAACTAGAATAAATATTTCTATTTTTCACTGTAGAGGTTATCACCATCTGCAGTTTATCATAGTTCAGTTTATTTTAACGCAACCAGCATTTCAGACTAACTCTATATAAAAGTACATAATTATAAACAGTACAAAAATAGGAAGAAAGAAATCATATAACATTTATATTTACAGGATGTCTCCATGTTGCCCTGTGATGGACTGGCGGCCTGTCCAGGGTGGACCCCACCTCTCAACGGAAACAGATGGAGATAGACAGCAGCAGCCCTCGCGACCCCGCTTGGGATAAGCGTGACGGAAAATTGATGGATGGATTATTAGAGCAGACCTGTAGTTCTTCCTTCTTTTTGTCCCAGGAAGCTTTAACTTTAAACCCCACACTGAGATCTTATAGGGAATAACAGCACTAAGGCTTGCTTTCAGTTACATATCTCAAATATGAGACTTCAAATCTCATGTTTATTGATTTTATTACTTTATTTAAATACTAAACACCAAGGAATCTATAAAAAAGGCTCAAATTCTCTCTATAAATACAGCCTCTGCAGATCCTTAACAGACTATCAGTTATCACATTAAACACCAGCTTATTGTCAAATATCCTACTCAAATAACTTAAAAATATTCTGTTTTGGGATGTAGATTGTGTTTTATGGAAAGTCACTGGTTATATCCTTTGATTTCCAAACATTTAATTTTCTTCAACACACTGCTTAGAAAGGTTATTGAACACAGGATCCACAATTACTGTTTCATCAGGAAATTTAAGAACACATTGGTACGTTAGCAGCCCAAGATCCAGGCTGCTTATAAAATGTTTTTGTTAAAGGCTGAAGAAAAATCTACAAAATTGAATGAGTCTTTGAATTTTACAGATGTTTATAAATCAGATCTGGACGAAACTTAATCCAATTTATTCACATTTGTTGTGAAATCAGTTCAGACGGCATAAAAAGGAGATTTTAAAAAGACAAATGTCAAAAAGCAACAGAAACCGCTCATAAACGCTCTTCACAGGTAGGCTGGTTGAACCAAGTCAGTTTATTCTGTTAACTTTTTCCATAAAAGTTAAAAATAAAAACACAATTTATGACTAAAAATACAACCTAGATGTAAAAACGAACACATCTGAAAAGTTCCCAAAGTGTAGGTTGAACGTTAAGACCTGATTGAACACCAGCAATAAAAACAGTTTGTGTTCGACAGCACGCCGTCGCATTCTGCTCCATGTTTGTACCCTCGGTGCAAACCTCCCCAGACATTCAGCCATCAGTCGACAACCTTCAGTTTGTGTATTACAGTGTTTAACATTCATGCACGACCAAATAAACAGCAGAGGAAATAAAAACAGCCGTGATAGCCAGGCGTTATGGACAGAATTCCCTAACTGCACCTGGATGAAGTAGAGGAAGATACATCGGGAGTAAGGAGGCGGTATGAGCTGCCCTTACTGCCGGGCCACAATCACCAACATGACCCTCCAGAATCTAAGCCTGCTTCTACAGAAGTCGGACTAAATGCTCCTGAAGGGTCAGCGATGCCATGTAGCCCTTTACGTTTGCTGGTGAATCTGAGAACGTATTTTTTTTGTTCAGAGGAAATTAGGATTAATTGTGCTTCAGCGCTCACTATTTCTAAAGACTACTGCAGTTAAGGAGCAGCTGATAGAAATTAAAATAAAGACCCTGAGAATGGAGTGGATTAAGTGAACAAAAAAAAATAAAAGGTTATTTAATGGATTAACAAATGGCTTTACTTTATCCTGAAATATCCAAGCTGAATTATTTTCTGGAAACTATTTACAAATCATTTCTCTAAAGGAGGAGTTGAAGTGCGGTTTGTTTCAAAGGTTGTTTACACACCTTTGAATTAAATGAAAGCCATAAGTCAGGATGAATGTATAAAACAAAAGCAAACAAGTCGTTTTATTGTAGGTCTATTTTCTTACAAGTATGATGGTGGGAACAAAAACAAAAGAAAAAAAAAATCATTTATCTGTCGTCTCTTTTGAACTGTTTAACATTAGAGCATTGACATGTACAGTCTGATATAATCTGTCCTGCTTTCTTTAAAGAAGGTTCATTTCAATCACTTTTTAAATGTATGACAAACTACACAAAGAAAAAAATGTATTTACAATTTGTAATAAAAAAAAGCAAATCAAAAATCACAGCACAGATAAAATGCACAACCCTGAACAGGAAAGAAATAAAAATAAAAAAGCCTAAATTTCCCCACTTATACGGTTCCTGATTTTACAAACTTTTTTTTTTTTTAAAAGCATGTCATTTAAAAAGTGGCTGGGAGAAGAAAAAAAAAAAAATCTAAACAGTATCTGAAAGAGACTGAACCCACAATGTAAATAGACGGACTCTATAAAAGCTCTGATTATGTTGGTGTTTCCTGCTCTCCTCGGATGGAATGTTCTCGCTCCGGATGCTTGGGCTCTTGCTTGTAAGTCAGCGGGTTGTTGAAGGTTAAAAGTGGGTTCTAGGGAAGCAAACTCAAACAGCAGGGCGGAGGGATGTTCCGTGGCTAGTGGTGGGTCCTCAGTGTCAGCCACCAGTCCATAAGAACCAAGTGTCTCAGTAATATCCAGGCTGATACTGCTGGCTCCAAGGCTTCTGGTTCCAGAACTACAGACCAGAGAGTTCAGAGTTAAAACTGGAATAAACTACACCAACATGTTAGAAATACCAGGACCATTTCCTTCATTTCAACAAAGATATGTTAATTTTCGCTAAACTATTCATGTCTTATGAGGTTTTTCCATATTTTCTCACATTAATAGAACAGTAATGAATAATTAAACTGGAAACATTTCTATTGGTTCCTCTGTAAAACCACTTATCTGTGCAGAATTTCCAGCATCCTAATACTAAAACATGGCAGGGGGAGCATTATGCTGTGGGGAAGACTGCCATACCAGTGAGAAGCTCATATTGATAAAAAACTGGAGAACAAGGTTCAACTTTCAAAAAGTGTCCAACCAGAGCTACACGCCAAGTGATGTTAGAACGGTCCAGTCAAAGTAAGGAGCTGCAGCTACTGATCAACTGGAGGTTAAGGCTGGAGTCGTTTCTAAAACTAACTGATCTGTCACTGAGCAATAAAAACTTTCAGGATGCTAAATAAGTGAAATGTGAAGCAGCTGGAATACTGACCCCTTGCTGCCAGCTCTGGTTGAAGGCTTGGGCCTTGTCCATGCCGTTCCTGTTGCCAAAGTTGCCGCTGTTCCTGTTGCCAAAGTTGCTGTTTTTCTGGCCAAAGTTTCCACGGCCTCCTCCGCCTCTCTGCTGGAACTGGAGATGGAGCAAAAGGTTCATTTAATTAAGGCTAACAAAATGAGCCAAACGACCCACATTCCATCCGTTTCTATTTGCATGTTTTCTAAATAAAAACGGGGTTTTATTGGGCTACTGTATAAAACCTTAAACTAAACCCTTTTTTTTAATATTTTGAATTTAAAAATGTCCTCAAACTTGGAAGCAAAATCCAGTGGATTGTTGTTAATTTTCTTTTTTTGGAATCTTATGAAGACACCTACGTGGGCGGGAGGTCCCCTGTTGGCGTTGCGGTTCATGTTGCCTCCGCCTCCTCTGTTCATCTGACCCCCTCTGCCCATTTGGCCGCCTCTGTTCATCGGACCGCCTCTGCTCATGGGTCCTCCTCGGGGTCCCATGTTTCCCCTCATCGGTCCACCTCTTGGGGCTCCGGCCAGGCTGGGGAGTGGACCACCGCCGCCCCGCCTAAACCCAGGCCGGGGGACCCCTCCCCTGAAGATTGGTGGAGGTATACAGCCACGGGGGAAACCGCTGAAGACGCCGCGCGGGCCGGGACCTGTGAGGATCAATGAACCATCGTTAGTTGGAGCCTGAGAGCCAATCGCAGCACATTCCAGTCCCAAACATCTCACCTCCTCTGAAGTTGCCTCTGTTCTGGAAGTTTCCACGACCGCCACCCCTCTGTCCCTGTCCACTGCGTCCAAACTGATTCTTGCCTCCCCGGCCGCCGCCACGAGCTCCGCCTCCACGAGACCCGCTTTGATTACCGCCTCTCTTAGGGGTGCTGCTGCCTTGGTTGGGCTTCTTCTCAGCAGGCAGGGCCGTCTTGCTCTCCTCCTTGTACTGCTCCAGCAGCTTGGCGGCGTCCTCCTTGGGCAGCTCGGCATACGTGACCTCGCTGAAGCTTTCTCCTTCCTCAGGCAGGGCGTAGAAGCCTGGAGGGGCAGCAGATCACCACAGGATTAGGAACTGAAGAGCAGGCGCTAAGGTTGAACATTTTAGGAAGTTTTACCTTTCATTTTGAGCAAAGCGTGCTCCGGAACTTCCTTGCCGTCACTCTCCACCTTCTTCTGGACTCGTTTCTTGTACTCCTCGTCTGAAGGGAAGACCACCACAGCCTTACGCTGGAACCCGGCAAACAAACACATCTTCCTCTTCTGGCCGGGTGCAGATAGGTTAGTCTGAAAAATAAAACAAATCAGTATTTCCTCATCCAGGTTTATGTATCAAACAGGATGGCGTTCCGTAAATGGGAAACTTACATGATCCAGAATGTAGTTCCTCTTCTTGCGAGCGGCGATCTCAATGAATTTTCCCAAGAAAAGTGGAGCTCTTTGGGAAATGGCGCTCAGCTTGGTGATATCCTTGGACTGGCGTTTCAAACTGTTAATCTACATTCAAACGAGAGTAATCGTTATTCAGATTGAAATCTTGCGCCATCTTTTGCCTGCTACAGAGCGTCTGATGGTACCCACCATCATCTTATCCACAATGGTGTCGCTGCTCAGGATGTAGTATTTCCCAGGGTTCTGCTCAACCTGGTTCTTCACCCAGGTAGTTTTCCCTGAGCCCGGCAGGCCAACCATCACAATGATCTACGGAGGAGGAGACACCGGTTATAGTGAAATCAACAGCAGAACAAAGGACAGAAAAACCTCGCTCGTTCACTGACCTCACAGTCAGCCTTAGTCTGGGGGCCCTTCAGGCCCCGCACTCGCTCATCAACAGGGATTTGCTGCAGGAAGGTGTAGCCCTCAGGCTGGGGGAAGTACGGAGTCTCCATCTGGCCAAAGTTAAACTCCACAGCACAGTTGCGACAGATGACATGTGGGAAGAGAGCCTGGCCATTCAGACAGTCTTTGAGGACCCTGAAGGCAACAGCTGGTTCTCCACCATTCTTGGCAAAGGAGATAACGACCTCCTCACCCTCAAAGTCCTACAAAAAATAAAACAGGTACAAAAAATGTAATCTAAGCATTAAATTGTACTAGATGCAAATAAAGTTATTTTATTAGTATGCAACAATCTGAGGCAGTAAAATTTACCCTTTAGAAAACTGATCACTTTGTGTGAAATTGCAAGTTAAAAATAATAAAAGTAAAGAGATTAAATAAGTTATTTTAAGGTTCACTTTCAGCAGATAATTGAAACTGCAGCTTTAGCAATACTGCTTCAGTTGGTAGTATATGTGGGCAGTCGTGGGTGAGCGGTTAGGGTGTCAGACTTGGATCCCAAATGTTACCGGTTCGACACCTCCTCCATCCTCCTCCATGACTGAGGTACCCTGAGCATGGTACCGTCCCGCCACACTGCTCCCTTGGGGCGCCATTGAGGGCTGCCCCCTTGCACGGGTGAGGCATAAATGCAATTTCATGGTGTGCAGTGTTCACTTGTGTGTGCTGTGTCACAATGACAATGGGAGTTGGAGTTTCCCAAAGGGCTTTTCACTTCATATGAATATCAAAATAGAAGTTTTAATCAGTAAATTTATTATACTATAAAAAGTATCAATATATCCCTCACAAGTTTCCTTTGATTCAAATAATGAAAACAGGCCTCAATACATAAAAAAAAAATTTCCAATGCCAAGACAGAAATCAGGGTGTGTGTGTGTGTGTGTGTGTGTGTGTGTATATATATATATATATATATGCTTAATATCTGCAGGGTTTATTCAGGAATGAGCAACTCTAATTTAATGCTCTTAGAAATAAATGTAATCATCAAGTACCCATGATTCTCATATGGGAGACTTTGAATACTCTAGCCTTTTCTCCGCCTTGTTTTCAGAACACACTGCTTTATAATTAACTGCAAGATATTCTGTGCAAACACGCGGAACCAGTTATATCTGATGAAATTGTTTTTATAAATTTGTTTTTTTTTAAGAAAGCATTTTAAATGCCACTATAATCACATTTAATTTTAATACAAATTACGGCCTTAAATTAAAAAACTATAATTTAATGACTTAATGAACCACAGAAACCCCGACCCATTTGGTGAATTTATCTCGTAAATGGCATGAAATAAAATTAGTGCTTATTGAAATATTTCCAATTCCTTCCCAAACATGTCTATAAATGTCATCTTACAATGAGGCAGCAGATGACGTCGTTCTCCTCGTACGTTTCACCAAAGTCTTCTGTCACACAGTTGGTGGTCTTCTTCCCTTTGCAGGAGTATCCGTAAGAGAACTCCTCCTCACCTAAATAGCAGGAGAAAGAGGGTTCAATTTACAAAACCCACTAGAGGGCAGCGTTCAGCATTGTAGTGCTTAGCAGCACTGTTCTATAAAAGATAAGCTAGGAATCAATATTCAATGTTATTATATACATATTCAATATTACTTTGAGCTAGAGAAGCAGAAGCAGACTCACCCAGAAGCAGAGTACCAGTAGACAGGGACCATCCAACCTGAACATCATTAATCTCTAGGTTCTTGCTGGAGATGTGCTTCACTGAAATCTTCTCTGTCAGCTGGAATCGGATGAGAAAAACGGCTTCAACAAACTGATTTCTACGCCACCTTAACACCTCATGGTTTAAAGTCTTAAAGGGGACAATGAGGAACATATTTGCCCTGATATAGATGTGATATCAGTAA